TGATAGATGGCAGCATTCACGCACAATTGAAAGCGCAAACCACCACATTTAACCAAGGCAAGGTGACTGGGAACATGGATGTGTACAAACAGACCAGCTATGCCCTCGGTAAGGCAATGAAATGACAGTACAGGGACAAAGTGGAGTCCCAATTCAACGGCTCAGACATGAGATGTATGTGGCAGGGACTCCAGACAATCACAGGTTATAAAGGGAAAGCCAGCCACGTCGCAGACACCAACGCCTCGCTCCCAGACAAGCTAAACACCTTCTTCGTCCGCTTCGTGGAAAACACAGAGCCGCCGATGTAGGCCACTGCCGCTTACAAGGACTGTGGGCTCTTGTTCTCCGTGGCCGAGGTGAGTAAGACGTTTAAGCATGTTAACCCTCGCAAGGCTGCCGGCCCAGACGGCATCCCAAGCCGTGTCCTCAGAGCATGTGCAGAGCAGCTGGCTGGAGTGTTTACGGACATATTCAATCTCTCCCTATCCCAGTTTGCTGTCCCCACTTGCTTCAAGATGTCCACCATTGTTCCTGTACCCAAGAAATCGAAGGTAACTGCACTAAATGACTATTGCCCGTAGCACTCACTTCTGTCATCATGAAGTGCTTTGAGAGGCTAGTTAACCTCTACGGGATCGGTGTCCCGTATACAGGACGGTTGAGCTAACGTGCGCTAATGTGATTAGCATGACTGTTGTAAGTAACAGCAAAATTTCAAGAAAATAGACATGTCTTATATGGGCAGAAAGCTTACATTCTTGTTAATCTAGCTGCACTGTCCAATTTACAGTAGCTATTACAGTGAAAAAATACCATGCTATTGTTTGAGGAGAGTGCACAACAACAAAAAACGTATCACGGCAACTGGTTTCATACATTCACCTCTGAAGGTAAATAATGTACTTACATTCAGTAATCTTGCTCTGATTTGTCATCCTAAGGGTCCCAGAGATAAAATGTAGCATAGTTTTGTTTGATAAAATCAATTTTTATATTCAAATGTAGGAACTGGGTTCTACAGTGAACCCCTGCTGTCTCTGGCTCCACACCCACCCCGCCCGGCCATCTAGATGTGTGGAAGTTAGTGTATAAGCTAATGATCCATCATGTATGACATTCCTGGGAGTGTGTAAACTTACATTTTGTATTACCATATCAGTTTTGTATGTTCTCTATAGTTATGTACTTGAAAATGTATCAGTTGACCAGTTCGGCACATTTGGGCAGACTTGATACAAAATAGTCCAGTATTGCAGTATTTGCGCCTAAACTGCAATATTGTATTGTGGCCTTTCTCTTGCATTTAAAAGATGATGGAACAATTTTTTTTATAGAAAACGCATGTTTTTTTGTTTGTATTATCTTTTACCAGATCTAATGTGTTATATTCTCCTACATTAATATCACATTTCCACAAACTTCAAAGTGTTTCCTTTCAAATGGTTTCAAGAATATGCATATCCTTGCTTCAGGTCCTGAGCTACAGGCAGTTAGATTTGGGTATGTCATTTTAGGCGAAAATTGAAAAAAAGTGTCAGATCCTTAAGAGGTTAAGGATCATGTCACCTCCACCTTACCCGATACCCTAGACCAAATACAATTTGCATACCGCCCCAACTGATCCAAGGAAGACGCAATCACCATTGCACTGCACACTGCCCTATCCCATCAGGACAAGAGGAATACCTTTGTAAGTTCATTGACTATAGCTCAGCTTTTAACACCATAGTGCCCTCCAAGCTCATTACTAAGCTCGGGGCACTGGGTCTGAACTCCGCCCTGTGCAACTGGGTCCTGAACTTCCTGACGGGCCGACCCCAGGTGGAGAAGGTAGGCAACAACACCTCTGCCACGCTGACCCTCAACACGGGAGCCCCACAGGGGTGTGTGCTTTGTCCCCTCCTGTACTCCCTGTTCACCCACGACTGCGTGGCCAGGCACGACTCCAACACCATCATCAAGTTTGCTGACGATATGACGGTGGTAGGCCTGATCACCGGCGACGATGAGACAGGGAGAAGGTGAGGGACCTGGAGGAGTGGTGCCAGGACAACAACCTCTCCCTCAACGTCAGTAAGACAAAGGAGCTGATTGTGGATTATAGGAAACGGAGGGCCGAACACGCCCCCATCCCCTTTGACGGGGCTGAAGTGGAGCGGGTCGAGAGTTTCAAGTTCCTCGGTGTCCACATTACTAAGGATGTATCATGGTCCAAACACACCAACACAGTCGTGACTAGTGCACGAGAACGCTTCTTCCCCCTCAGGAGGCTGAAAAGATTTGGCATGGGCCCTCAGATCCTCAAAAGGTTCTACAGCTGCACCACTGAGAGCATCTTGACTGGCTGCATCTCCGCTTGGTATGGCAACTGCTTGGCATCTACAGAGGGTAGTGCGTAGGGCCCAGTACATCACTGGCTCGAGCTCCCTGCCATACAGGACATCTATATACCAGGTGGTGTCAGAGCAAGGCCTTAAAAATTGGCTCCAGCCACCCTAGTCATAGACTGTTCTTGCTGGTACCGCACGGCAAGCGGTACCAATGCACCAAGTCTGGAACCAACAGGACCCTGAACAGCTTCTACCCCCAAGCCATAAGAATGCTAAATAGTTAATTAAATAGTTAACAAAATAGCTACCTGGACTATCTGCATTGACCCTTTTTGCACTAACCTTTTTCTCATCACAAACGCTGCTGCTACTGTTTATTATCTGTCACTTTATTCCTAGTTATATGTACATATCTACCTCAATTACATCGTACCCCTGCACATCGACTCGGTACTGGTACCCAGTGTATATAGCCAAGTTATCATTACTCATTGTGTATTTATTATTACTTTTATTATTAAGTGTTTTACTTTTCTATTATTTCTCTATTTTCTTTCTCTATGCATTATGGGTAAGGGCCCGTAAGTAACCATTTCACTGTTAGTCTACACCTGTTGTTTATGAAGCATGTGACTAATACAATTAGATTTGATTTGATGTCGGCTCAATCGGAAATCACCTTGACATTTCTATGGCACAATCAGACTGAATAGAACCCTTCGTTTTTGTGTTCTCGCTCATGAGTATGTGTATGTACACTCACAAGTGACTGAGTGTGTGTGCTTGTTAGTGTGGATATGCAACCTTTCTCCTCTGTGTTTGTGTTTGTGTGTGTCTGTGTGTGTGTGTGTGTAATTACAAGTGAATGTGTGTGTGTGTGTGTGTGTATGTGTGTCTGTCTGCTACTGTTCTCCTGAGTGTTTGTGAGTGTGGTTATGTGTGTGTTAAAGCCTTGGAGAACTCAAGGGATCCCTTTTGTGGGCAGACCAGGCAGACCAGGCAGGCAGGCAGACAGACAGGCAGACAGACAGGCAGACCAGGCAGGGAAGGCAGACCAGGCAGGCAGACCAGGCAGACCAGGCAGGGCAGGCAGACCAGGCAGGCAGACCAGGCAGACCAGGCAGACCAGGCAGACCAGGCAGGGCAGGCAGGGAAAGCAGACCAGGCAGACCAGGCAGACCAGGCAGGCAGACCAGGCAGACCAGGCAGACCAGGCAGACCAGGCAGGGAAGGCAGACCAGGCAGGCAGACCAGGCAGACCAGGCAGGGCAGGCAGGGAAAGCAGACCAGGCAGACCAGGCAGACCAGGCAGACCAGGCAGACAGACAGGCAGACCAGGCAGGCAGGCAGACAGACAGGCAGACCAGGCAGACAGGCAGACCAGACAGGGCAGGCAGGCCAGGCAGGCAGACCAGGCAGACCAGGCAGGCAGGCTGTAGATGGCCCAGTCTTTTGACTCAGTCTACTGGTCTGGATCTGTTGCTGATGCCCTGACCTCCCCATTCCTCTCCTCTTCTGTCCATTCGTTCGCTCTCCTTCCACAGATATTCATCCACTATTTCACTGCAGTTTCCTTTCAGTTCCCAGACTGCATATAGAGTAGAGCTCAAATAAACCCAAACCTGCTGGACTTAACCAACAACGCTTATGTGATTCACTCAGCTCAGACCGTCAGACTCTTTATCAAGCTTCTGTGAGAAAGCAACCACAAGAGGGGCACTTTCTGCCCAACATTTTGAAGTCTCACAGTTTCATTTGTTCTTGCTTTCCGCCGGTGTCACTAGCCCAAGTTGTTAGAAAACATCCTGAGGATTTTCATGGGAACTCTTTTTTTTCTGTCAGAGAGCTTGTCTGTCAGACAGTCACACTTTATGTATTTTTGTTCCACTTTGTGTGTGTGTGTGTGCCACTGAAGTTCTATGCCAGTCTCTCATGAGTAACAGTCTGCTGTAACAGAAAGGGATATTGCACTTCCTTTTCATTTGAGACTATACTGAAATAGTGTTAAAAAATAGGGCCAACTACAATTAAATAGCCAACTTCAATGCCAACTACACTGAAACTTCAACTACAATATCTAACACTGAAATATTGTTATAAAAGAGGCATACATCAGCACTGAGTGATTGTTTTCATATACTTATACTCACACATAAAGGGGTAGGTACTTTAACTCCTGCTTGAAAAGGCTGCAGGTCTATGTTTGCTCCCCATGTACATCTAGTATGTTTGCTCCCCATGTACATCTAGTATGTTTGCTCCCCATGTACATCTAGTATGTTTGCTCCCCATGTACATCTAGTATGTTTGCTCCCCATGTACATCTAGTATGTCTGCTCCCCATGTACACTGAACAAAAATATAAACGCAATGTGTAGTGTTGGTCCCATGTTTCATGAGCTGAAATAAAAGTTAAGATACATTTTCCATATGCACAAAAAGCTTATTTCTCTCAAGTTTTGTGCACAAATTGTGCATTTCTGAATATATATATAATTATCTGACTCTGTATTGTATTCTGTTTTTGTGTGAAAAGTTAAAGTGTATGGTCTACTGAGCCGTGCGTACCTGCTACTATTTGTGTGACAGTTGTCTGTGTCCCTAGCTGGGCCAGTGGTGTATTTGTTTGCCACCTCTTTCTGTCCGACCAGGTGATGTGACAGAAGGTCACTCGATGCTGTCAGTTCCCTTTTCCTCTCCGGATATTCCCAGCATTCTACGGGCCAGCGGAACGCAGCGCAGAGAGCAGCCGGGAACTCTGGGAACCAGGAGCAGGAAGCTAGCACCGCTCCAGTCATTCCTTGGTTGGGCAAAGCAAAGCAGCACCAGCCGGGGAGGAGAGATGGAGGAGAGGGCTGGAGGCCGGGTGTTAGGAGGGAGTACTAGAGGGCTGTCACTGTAACTGGAGCAACATCGCCCTCTGCTGGTTACTCATACACCAGTCATCAGATCTCACCATAATACACTGTATGACATTACAATAAATACAGTATATTTTATATCTTTGGTAAACCCTTGGCTGAACAATAACTTTCCCTAATATATACTTTTATATTAAAGTTGTTATCTATGAATGGGTGTATCATCTGCATTCAGTTGTTGGTGGTTAACCAACCATGCTATAAACTCAACAGCACAAAGTCAGGATCAAGTTTACATAAGACATGATGCCAAGCAGATTAATCTATCATTTTATTGTGCTATGTGGTGATGTATGATATCCATAGTGTGTTACTGTTGACCCAGCTATTGATATGTGGTTGATCTGTGGTTGGTCTGTGGTTGATCTATGGTTGATCTGTAGTTGATTTGTGGTTGATCTGTGGTTGGTCTGTGGTTGATGTGTGGTTGATCTGTGGTTGATCTGTGGTTGGTCTGTGGTTGATCTGTGGTTGGTCTGTGGTTGGTCTGTGGTTGGTCTGTGGTTGATCTGTGGTTGGTCTGTGGTTGGTCTGTGGTTGATCTGTGGTTGGTCTGTGGTTGATCTGTGGTTGGTCTGTGGTTGGTCTGTGGTGTACATTCTGTGTTCTGTCTTCTCATCTCCTTTAGTTTGTTTTGAGGAGCTCCCCTTCTCCTGTAATACAAATGTACATTCACATTAGATAAGCAGACTAAAACCAGATAAATAATGCCATTTTTTTGGTCACAAAAAATTGGTTGCCAACGTAATTAGAGCAGTAAAAATAAATATTTTGTCATACCCGTGGTATACGGTCTGAAATACCACGGATGTCAGCCAATTAGCATTCAGGGTTTAAACCACACAGTTTATAACAGACAAGATGTGTGTGTCTCTTACCCGGATCCTTCATCACCCCACAGTATTCCTCACACTCCCTCTTGGAGTAGAACTTGTTGCTGTTGACCTGGCAATAGTCCTTTTTATAGTCCAGACAGAGTCCAGAGTTGGAGTGGAAAACCCACATCTTGGGCTGTCCAGTGCAGGGCCAAACATCCACGGGCAGTCTACAGGCAGCTGTAGTGAGCCACAGCACACCAGACATGAGGAAACACATGAGGGACAATCAAGTCTCACACGTAGTCTATGGGCATGAACATCATATTGGTTCTTGAAGTGGGTTGAGTGTTGCCACATTACCAACTAGGTTCGAAGTCAAGCCTGCGTCTCCTACGCACCACAAGACTGTATAAGCCCATTGAACTAAAGTGAAGGCATTAGCTCTGGGAGCTAACGCCAAGTCTCAAGGTCTTAGACAAGATGACCCATCACACGAGTGTGGTTCACCAACCGAAAAAACACCTCTGTTACACTCTATCCACTCACCCTCATTGCGACAGCTCTGGAGACAATCCCTCTCGGTCACAAAGTTGTTCTGGTTTCCCATGCAGCCTCCGTAGGTGAACTGCTGACAGGCCATGCTGGTGGAGTTGTAGAAGTACCTCTGCACTGCCCCGTAACAGGGACCTGTGTCCGGCTTGGCGTTACAGGATTCTGAGGAGAGATGTATAGCAGTGCATTGTGTGTTTTAGCCATAGACATACAGTGGGGTCTGGAATTATTGACACCCTTGATAAAGATGAGCAAAAATGACTGTATAAAATAAATAATTCAAATACTGAGCTTTATTTTAAATTATATTATTTTATACTAATACAACTGCTCAGAGAAAGAGATATTGTAATAATAAGTAATAATTATTTTCTCAAAAAGGTAGGGGTCAAAATTATTGACACCCCTGTTTTCAATACCTTTCAATACCTCACCTTGCGACGATAACGGCACCCAACCCTGGTGTGTGGGACCAAATAACTATATTTTCATGTCATCTGACCAAGCACTGGTTCCAATCCAAGTGCCAATGCCGCTTGGCAAACTCCAGGCGTTTACATTTGTTGGATGACATGAAAATAGAGCTCTTTGACCATGCACACCAGTGGTGGGTTTGGCATCGAAATGAGAATGCATGAGCAGAAAATAACCCCATACCTACTGTAAAATATGGTGGTGGATCTTTGATGTTATGGGGCGATTTTGCTTCCACTGGTCCTTGGACCCTTGTTAAGGTCAATGGCATCATGAACTTTACCCAGTACCCGAAAAACTTTGCCCAAAACCTGGTTGCCTCTGCCAGGAGGCTAAAACAGCCTCAAGTGGATCTTCCAGCAAGACAATAACCCCAAGCACACATCAAAATCCACAAAGAAATGGTTAACCCTGTCAGTCCTGAGACCCCATCACAAATCTGCTTTTCATTTATCTGACTTTCATTTATGTCCTGGGATTTCCTATGATCTTCTATGTAGAAGAACCCCTTACCTTCTAACAACTATTGTGTAGCTTGTGAGCATCATAGAGCAAATAGATAATAATAATATAATATGCCATTTAGCAGACGCTTTTATCCAAAGCGACTTACAGTCATGCGTGCATATTTTTTTTTTTTGATTAATCCAATGGTACAACACACAATGTTTAAAAGGGGTTAGAAGTCTTAAATCACGCTTGTGCGACGGTGGGACTCATTGGGTTAATTGGCCACAAAATCAAAATTTTGCAATTGCCATCTTAGTGTCCGGACTTAAAACCCACTGGAAACCTGTGGTTTGAATCGAAGAGGGCAGTCCATAAGCACAGACGAAGGATATCAAGAATCTGGAATGGAAGATTGGTCTAAGATCCCTCCCAATGTGTTCTCCAATCTCATAAAACATTTTTGAAAAAGGCTCAGTGCCGCTATCCTCGCAAGGTGAGTTATTAAAAGGTATTGAAAACAGGGGTGTCAATAAGTTTGACCCCTACCATGTCAAACAAAATCAATTTTTTCTGAGCAATTGTATTAGTAGAAAATAATATAATTTCCCCTATTTATTTGAGCATACAATATAGCTCAGTATTTGAGTCATTTATTTTATACAGTCAGTTTTGCTCATCGTTATCAACGGTGGGAATAATTTCGGACTCCACTGTACACCGTAATTACATGTAATATACATGAGTGTTACTCAACTCCAGTCCTCCACTATCCCTAACAGTACACATGTTTATTGTAGCACTGGACAAGCTGATTAAACTTGTATGAGTTTAATTAGTTATGTTTGTCCGGAGCTACAACAGAAATGTGTTCTAGCAGCTTCCAGCCAGACCCACACAGAGCTGATGCTAAAACGTACCTTCAACGTAGAGGTCAGAGGCCTAGCAAGCCCACCATGCACTCTCACCTTCACTCCTGAACATCATGGTGTCGTCACCAGAACCCTCCTCAGAGGGCAGTTCAGGGAAGACTATGTTCCTCTTGGCTCTCTGAGGACAGACAGACAGGTGAGTACTCAGCAGGGTTGGGGTCAATTCCATTTTAATTCCAATTAATTCAGGAAGTATACTGAAATTCCAATTCCAATTATCTTCAATGTTTTTCATTTAGGAACATATTGGAATTTGATTTACTTTCTGTAATGCCTTTAACCAAAGCCGCTTTTCGATATAATCCCAAACTCTGACACGGGGTACAAACTCAACATTGAATAATTGAATACAGGAAGTACCGGTGCTGTAATCTCAGGCTGAGGCTCTGCTGCTACAGGCTCCGTTCCTGGTACACACTCCCCTGTGGACAGAGACAGGAGTTCAAAGGTCAAACAATGTCCAGACACATAGTGGATGTCACAGGTGTGTGTGTGTGTGTGTGTGTGTGTGTCTGTGCGTGCGTTCGTGCGCATGTGGCTGAGTGCTTGCTGCCTGGTGTCTGTGAGTATTTGTGCATGTGTGTGTGCAGGGGCATATGCCAGATGGGCTGGTCCATATTTAGCCCAGTGGGCCTGTTTAACTTGGGTTTTTGGTGAAAATGTGTAATTATTGGTTAATAATGGGGGCCTCAAGGAAAAAATGGGCCGGAGTCGGGTCCTCGAGGAAAAAAATGGGCCGGTGTGGGGGCCTGAAGGAAAGAAATGGGCCGGTGTGTTAGAAATGCCAAGGCCGATTTCTGGTCCCAGTCTGCCCCTGTGTGTGTGTGCGCCTCTACCTTTGTTCTGTTTGATGATGATTGTGTCGTCAGCCATGCCCTGCTCCCTCACCAGCCTCCTGAAGTCATCTAGGATAGTGGGCGGCAGTTCCATGGTGCGACCTGAAGGAGGCAGCATTTTAATTTACTTCTACTGCTGAATATAATAACACTACAGCTGTGTCTGAGTGGCCTGGTCTCAGATCAGATCTTTTGCTGCTGAATATAACAACACTATAGCTGTGTCTGAGTGGCCTGGTCTCAGATCTGTTTGTGGTCCTGCCAACTCCTATAGTCATTATCATATTTGTGTTTGTGCTGTTCTATAGCCAAATCGATTGGCTGATTGATTGACTGTATAGCCAAATCCTATGGTCGTTGTCATGACAATCATAATTACAACCAAAGAGGTTGGCAAGACAGCACAAACAGATCTGGTACCAGGCTATTGTCTCAGTGGTGTAGAGTGAAATAAATGAAATTGGAGCGACACTCACTGTATAGCTTGGCGGACTTGGTCTTCTCGCCTCCTGTTTTCTGTTTACTCATCATAACGATGGCGTACTTATCATAGTCAGTGTGAACCACATAGGCGTCAACATCAGCCCCCCACTCTGCATAAAGGAAACATAGATTTATATGGTAGGAGAGTAGGAGAGCACGAACATACACATAGTCCACAATGTCAATTACCTCTCACCGTTGACCTCTCATCGATTACAAAAATACACAGGCTGTGTCTGGAAACATTACTAGCTGTCACATCCTTGCTTCCTCCATTACTAGCCGTCCTTGTTTCCTTAAGTCCTCTCAAAGCGCATTGGAGGAGAGGTTCCAAGGTCTCTCCCTTGGACATTCTTCTCCAATTAGCTTTGAGAGGACTTAAGAAAACAAGGACGGGGAAAGCAAGTAACATTTTCAGACATGGTTGTGACAAACAGACTTACTGGCGACGTGGTAAGTGAATCTTCCAGGTGTGTCGGTCAGCTCGTAATCACCAGAGATCTGCTTACATGTCCCGTGCCTGCACACACACACACACACACACACACACACACACACACACACACACACACACACACACACACACACACACACACACACACACACACACACACACACACACACACCACAGAATATATTTAATTAAAGGCCCAATGCAGCCGTTTTTATCTCAGTATCTGGTTAACAATTAAGTACCTTACTGTTATTGTTTTCAATTAAAATGGTAAAAAAACAAACAAAAATAGCTTTTTAGTAAAAAACTATTCCTCAAGCAAGAATTAGCTAGGACTGTCTGGGAGTGGTCTTAGTGAGGGGCCTAATTGGAGGGATATGTAACCTGAAAACTAGCTGTTATTGGCAGAGGTTTGGAACTCTCTTTGTTATTGGTCTAATAACTTATACCTCCTGGTGATGTCACCAGGCAAGCCAAAACTCCACCCATGCAAAACCTGCTGATTAGAAAGTCCTGTGTAAATTGCATTTTCAACCAACAACTATGAAATAACACAGATATTTTTTAAATCACACTTTTACAGTGTTAGTTTCAAACATAAGTTTGATTGCATTGGGTCTTTAAGCTATGGTGAATCCAGTTGCATTATTAGGTACAGTTCAGAGACACGAATATCAATGTGTGTGTGTGTGTGTGTGTGTAACCTCACTTTTTCTTGCTCCTTGTCATGCTGACTTTGCCTTCAGTGCCACTGGCCTGCAGCTCCAGGGTGCCAATGGCTGCATCTCCCTTGTGGCGCTGCATCCAGGGGCAGGTGGACGCTACTGCAATATCATGCCACTTCCCCATGAACTGACCCATAGAGAGAGTATAGAAAGGTTTTAACAACCTGCAATACTGTACTGGGAACTGCAAGTTTTTAGAGATCTGCGGCATATTAACTTACAAGCTGATCAAAACATAAAGCACAAAATCTGCATAGCTTGACAACTCAACTGAATCAGTCTATTGGCCATTTGGCCATCAAGTAACGTTATGCAGAATTTTCAAACCAATTACTCTACTGATTACTCTACTAGATTAGACTACTGCAATGCTCTACTCTCCGGCTACCCTGATAAAGCACTAAATAAACTTCAGTTAGTGCTAAACACGGCTGCTAGAATCCTGACTAGAACCAAAAATGTGATCATATTACTCCAGTGCTAGCACTAAATAAACTGGCTTCCTGTTAAGGCTAGGGCTGATTTCAAGGTTTACTGATAACCTACAAAGCATTACATGGGCTTGCTCCTACCTATCTCTCCGATTTGGTCCTGCCGTACATACCTACATGTACGCTACCGGTCACAAAACACAGGCCTCTTCATTGTCCCTAGAATTTCTAAGCTAACAGCTGGAGGCAGGGCTTTCTCCTATAGAGCTCAATTTTTATGGAATGGTCTGCCTATCCATGTGAGAGACGCAGACTCTGTCTCGTCCTTTAAGTCTTTACTGAAGACTCATCTCTTCAGTAGGTCCTATGATTGAGTGTAGTCTGGCCCAGTGGTGCGAAGGTGAACGGAAAGGCACTGGAGCGACAAACCATCCTTGCTGTCTCTGCCTGGCCGGTCCTGTCTCTCCATTGGGATTCTCTGCCTCTGACCCTATTACGGGGGCTGAGTCACTGGCTTACTGGTACTTTCCATGCCGTCCCTAGGAGGGGTGCATCACTGGGCGGCAGGTAGCTTAGTGGTTAAGAGCGTTGTGCCAGTAACCGAAAGGTCTCTGGTTCTAATCCCCGAGCCGACTAGGTGAAAAATCTGTCGATGTGCCCTTGAGCAAGGCACTTAACCCTAATTGCTCCTGTAAGTCGCTCTGGATAAGAGCGTCTGCTAAATGACTAAAATGTCAATGTAAATGTAAATGTTGAGTGGGTTGAGTCACTGATGTGATCTTCCTGTCCGGTTTGTCGCCCCCTCGGGCTCGTGCAGTGGAGGAGATCTTCGTGGGCTATACTCAGCCTTGTCTCAAGGTAGTAGGTTGCTTTGGCAAAGTGGGTGGGGTTATATCCTGCCTGGTTGGCCCTATCCGGGGGTATCGTCGGACGGGGCCACAGTGTCCCCCGACCGTCTCAGTCTCCAGTATCTGTGCTGCAATAGTCTATGTACCGGGGGGCTAGGGTCAATCTGTCCTATCTGTTGTCCTGTGTGAACTTAAGTATGCTCCATCTAATTATCCCATGTCTCTCTCTCAGGACTACCTGGCCTGATGGCTCCTTGCTGTCCCCAGTCCACCTGGTCGTGCTGCTGCTCCAGTTTCAACTGTTCTGCCTGCGACTATGGAACCCTGACCTGTTCACCAGACGTGCTACCTTTGTCCCAGACCTGCTGTTTTCAACTCTCTCTCTCTACCACACCTGCTATTTCAACCTTTAAATGCCCGGCTATGAAAAGCCAAGTGACATTTACTCCTGATGTACTGACCTGTTGCAACCTCTACAACCACTATGATTATTATTTGACCCTGCTGGTCATCTATGAATGTTTGAACATCTTGGATAAAAATCTGGCCTTAATGGCCATGTACTGTTATAATCTCCACCACGCACAGCCAGAAGGGGACTGGCCACCCCTCAGAGCCTGGTTCCTCTCTAGGTTTCTTCCTAGGCTCCTGCCTTTCTAGGGAGTTTTTCCTAGCCACCTTGCTTCTACATCTGCATTGCTTGCTGTTTGGGGTTTTAGGCTGGGTTTCTTTATAGCACTTTGCGACATCTGCTGATGTAAAAAGGGCTTTATAAATACGTTTGATTGATTATGCCCACGGAGAATAGGTGAGATAAAGCAAGAGAGAGAGATTTACATTTTAGTCATTTAGCAGACGCTCTTATCCAGAGCGACTTACAGTTAGTGAGTGCATACATTTTCATACTGGCCCCCTGTGGGAATCGAACCCACAACCCTGGCGTTGCAAACGCCATGCTCTACCAACTGAGCTACAACATACCATGGCTATGATCCATGGTATGAGAAACAGAAGAGACTAACTCTTACCTTGGTCAGGTCGAAGTTCTCCTGTGTGGGGAAGAGAGATTCAGGAAGTACAGGCACTCCATGGAGGAGACAAACGAGGCCCAAGAGGAACGCAAGTACGACAACCTGCTGCATCCTGTTTGTCTGTCTCCAATACCAACCTCCGACTGAGGCTTACTCTGAGCTCCTGGATCTGCTGGGAGAGCTAACCCCTCCAACCCTCTACCCCTCCACCCCTCCACCCCTCCAACCCTCTACCCCTCCACCCCTCCACCCCTCCACCCCTCCACCCTTTACCCCTCCAACCCTCTACCCCTCCACCCCTCCACCCTTTACCCCTCCAACCCTCTACCCCTCCACCCCTCCACCCCTCCAACCCTCTACCCCTCCAACCCTCTACCCCTCTACCTCCACCCCCTCCACTGGATTAGGCTAGAAACCCAATGGCATTGACCCATGTGTGTTTACCCCTTCCTGTACCCCCTCGAACTCCAGCATAAAACAAACCGCAAACAGAGCAAAGTTCTCCTTATCTTGTCCCTTTCTCTGAAACACTGGACTTCAACGTGGAATTTAATAGGAAAGAATATATAACATTTCAGCACATTTCAGCACCAACGAGTAGTAGCATGTATAGCAAAAACAATAATGGCCGAAGGACTGAACCCTGCAGAACTCCCTAGTAACCTTGGAGTGTTCTGAAAACTCTTCATCACAAAAACATGTAATGTACCATATGAGGTACTCAAATACACACATGGAATTCTCTCTCTCTCTCTCCCTGTCTCCTGTCCTATTATATCTATGGTTCTCTCTCCAACTCACACACACACCACAGACACCACGTAGCACGATAGGCAAAGGAACACTAGCAGTTATTCAGCCATAGCAGCGTTATATACAATGATGCCCCAAAATGGAAAACTAAATCAACAGTCGGTGGTACTGAGGGGTCAAGAGAAAGATAGACAGACATCAGAGAGGATGTTGGTAATAACATAATAAGAGGTGTCTAAAAGTGCATTTATCAATGGTGGTTAAACTGTTATCCATTGCAGAATGTGTGCTGTAAATCGTGTTGAAGTGCTGTTGTTGTCAGGTACAGTAAAGTGTGTCGGAGTGTTGTGAAAATATGCCATAAAACATGTCCTAATGCTGCGCTCTAACGGAGAGACAGATGTGTACGTGCTGGGAATTGGTGTTGGCATAGAGAGTCATCATGATGTCCTGATCTGACGGAGAACACAAAAATAAAACCTACAGTTTATTCAAATATCACGTGTTCCAGTAATTGTAGTCCGTCATCAACAACATAGACTGTCTGTAGAAAGGAAGTGTATTAACTTACCTAGTGTCCAGAGGGAGGGCGGTTTTCTGTAAACAACAAGGAGTACAACAATGTCTGCTTTAAGAAGTAATACAGTATTATGTATTGGTGTATGTGTGTGTGTGTGTGTGTGTGTATGTGTGTGTGTTTCCCTACTTCGGCTACAACCTGTTTGGGGTCAAACTACACTCCTCGGGAAATGTTTGAATCATATCAGGCTTCACCTTCAGGGAACGACCTATAAGACCAGACGAAGAGCAAGATTTAGCGGTAAAGCCACCAGCTATGCATTTCCTCAAACACAATGCTATAGCACATTGTAAAACAGCATATTACATTCAGGCCTCCACTCCAATGCCCCAGTTCCTCTCCAAGTATGTAACAGAGGTGGTTTGGTGAACCACACTCGCATGAGACCTCAAGACTCGCGTTAGCTCTTCAAGCTAACACTGTCTTTTGGTGCACGGGAGACCCAGGTTTAAACCTGGTTGGTCACACCTCCACCTGAACAGCAGAAGAGACAGACTCACCATAGAGGGACACCTGTGTGTACTAGGGTTGAATGGCGGGAACCCGGTTGGCGGGAACCCGGTTGCCGGCATTTACTGGGATTTACCGGGATTTACCGCCCAAAACCACTATGAGAAACCGGTAAATTATTATAAATTATTTATATGAACAGCATGGGATGAAATGGAACCGTTATATGCGACGTCTAAATCTGGCTTCTCTACGGCCTCTGCATGATGAATCATCAACGCTCAGGGTGGGGACAGACAGCCCATCTCAGTATGGAGCGCAGTTCACAATGCATGGAGATCTATCATCTCATCATGTACCTTTTTTTCTTGTGACAGGTAGGCCTACATTTGCTGCAGCATAGTCTATAATATAAAGACCGAATGCTTGTCTAATTTACCCATCTCCATCTGGCTTTCGCGGGTCACCTTATTTTTTAATTGTAAAGATGTTTTATTTTTGATTGCAGCTGCAGAGTTTTAAAGCAGCCTTTGATATGAAGCCCTTTAAGTGTAACAACTAGGCAGTCATACCCCAGCCTCTTCCCTGCAAACTGAACATAACATACAGACAGTAGGCTACACATAGAGTCAAACCTACACCAGTATAGTCCTTGGTTTTAATTAGAGAATTTACAGTCAGAGGGGGAAACATGGCCTGCACTCACACATCAGCAATTTGACGCTTTCAACAGTGTCAACAACAGGAAGAGTCTGTAAATCAGGCAGCAAGACGTATATTATAAGGTAGTTGTATGTCCGTGGCTGTCCAGTGTGTCCCCCCCATGGGTGGAGGGAACTTGGCGTGCATTGCTAGTCATCCTATCAGTGTTGCAACCCTGCTGTCTGCCTGACCTTTGACCCCTAGCACTGTTTGCTTTTGGTTCAGCCTCAGCCTCTGTCCTAATGCTACCCTGTCCCCACCACCACTTGGAAACAACATTCCGTTCCCTATCAGACAGCCAACAACAAACAGAGAGTACTGAACATGTGGGGTCGGGTAACATGTCAATGACTAACAACTTCTTTAAATAAAAGACTCACAGACTAGAGGTCAAAGTTAAAGAGCGACTGCCCCTA